ACCAACTGTATTGGTCAGTTTTCTATCACTATATTATAATACCTGAGGTAATTAACTTATAAAGAGAAAAGTTGTTTTTGGCCCACAATTTTGGAAGTCCATAATCCGTTTTTTGCTTTGGGCCTATGGTAAGGCAGCATATCACACAGAAACACATAGCAGAAGAGGAAGAGGAGGGTTCAGAGGTACCTTAATCCCATTTGAGGGCATCCCCATAATGACCCAAAGACCTCAAACTGGCATCATCTGTTTGCACTTCTGTAGAAGGTCATTCTCGTAGAGAAAGAACATAGGTATCCAGGGGAGGCTGAAAAAGAATGAGTCATCAGGATAGCATCAGAAAAGGAAAATATCAGAGGCAATGGGGCCAGAGCTAGGCTAGTAAGTTAGACTGGAAAGTTCTGAGCCAAAGGGTGATGTCACTGGATTCCTCATAGTTTTCCCAAAGTAATAATCCACTTACAATGATAGTCACCATTTCGGTGCACACTTCTGCCAGTGTTGACAAACACGTATGGGCAAGCAGCCACCACAGTGGCTCCACCCTCCCCGAAAAGTCTCCACGCCAGTCCTTCCCTATCCGTAGCCCATGGCACTCACTGTTCTGTTATCCATCTGTCTCTGTAGTTTGCTTTTCTAGAACATTCTAGAAACGGAACTATGTAATAGGTGACGGTTAAACTTCATTGTCAGCTTGATGGAATTTAGGATCACCATGGAAACAAGTCTTGGGAATGTCTCTGCCTGGTTATCAAGATTAGGTTCCTGGAGGAGGGAAGAGCCACCCTGAACGTGGGCAGCATCGTTCCCTGACATGGGAGTCTAGGACTGAATGAAAGGAAAAAGCAGGCTGAAGGGAAACATCCATCACACTCAGCTTTCTGACTGCGGGTGCAGTGTGACCAGCTGTCCCTTGCTCCTGCTTCCTTGCCTTCCCTGACGCAGGGGACTGTATCCCTTAGAACTGTGAGCCAAGCTACCCTTCCTTCCTTCCTTCCTTCCTTCCTTCCTTCCTTCCTTCCTTCCTTCCTTCCTTCCTTCCTTCTTTCCTTCCTTCCTTCCTTCAGATGCTTTTGTCAGGAATTCTGTCCCAGTGAGAAAGTGAATGATACAGCACCATTTTTTTAAGACTTTAGTTTTTAGAGAAGTTTTAGATTTACAGAAAAACTGAGCAGAGTGTAAAATAATTTCCCATATACCCTCTCCATACACACACAGCCTCCTTAGATAGCCACGTCCCTCACCCAAGTGAGACAGTGGTCACTCACAACTGATGAAGTAGAGACCTTCTTGGAATCCAAACTCCTTCTCTTAGCTTACTGTTGTTTGAGATCAGCCCTTGCCAGCCCCTGGCACTGTTTCTCCCTGAGGGATGTTCATTGCGGGCATCTGTGACAGTACGCTTACCCAGTGCTGACTTGTCCCCCAGAGGTCCATGTTCTGGAAACTTCGTCCCTAGTGTTGGAGTGTTGGAGTGTGATAGAACTTCAGTTGGGCCTCACGGGAGGTAATTAGGCCATGGAGGCTCCATCCTCAGGAATGGATTAATAATACTGCTTGGGAGCGCCTCAAGAGTGGGTTGTTCTAAACCAGACTAGCTTCTCCCCAAACCTCTCCTCACACACTGCTTGTCTCTTCAACACATATTTTGACCATTGTAATGCCATCTACCAGAAAGCCCTGGCCAGAATCCAGCACATCCCTGTGTCATACTCTCTGACCTCCAGAACTGTGAGCTAAATAAGACTCTTTTCTTTATATATTAGTCAGCGTCTGGTGTTTTGTTATAGGAACACAAGACAACATGTTACATATACTTACCAGTCCAAAGACATTTATTTCTTGCTTTGGATGATAACAAAATAAAATGTCTAAAAACACCTCTGAGTGAGTTTTTATAAGAATGTATATTTTCATGAGTTTCTTCCAACAAGAATAGAGCGATGGGAAAGGAAGGGATCTGCTTCCCCACCTCCCTGAAGCAACTGAAACACTAGGGAAATACCTCAACATCTTTAACACACAGATGGAACAACCCAAGTCAGTGAGGCCTGAGAGAGGAGAACAGAGGAAGGGAGTTTTATCATCGCCATGTGCAGGGGGTGTTCTGAGGCCGAGTCCCACAACCTCCAGGAAATAAGGAGAACTTCTGTCATAGTCACTTTTCAATTGCTATGACAAAGCACCAAGACCAAGGCAACTTATAGAAGAGATCGTTTATTAGGGTTTATAGTTTCAGAGGGTGAGTCCATGACCATCATGGCGGGGAGCATGGCATCAGCCAGGTATGCACCAGAGCAGTAGCTGAGAGCTTTTATCTTGATCCAAAAGTTAGAGTTAGAAAGAGCTGACTGGGCCTGGTGTGGGCCTTTGAAGTTTCAAAGTCCATCCCCATGAACACACTTCTCCAACAAGGCACCTCCTAACCCTTTCCTAATAGGTCCACCAACTGGGGACCAAGGATTCAAACCGATGAACCTATGGGGCCGTTCTCATTTAAACCACCACAGAGATAGAGCTGGAGGTCAGCAAAGCCAAAGCAGATGAAGTTCAGCAGACAGAGAGACAGAGATGAGAGTATCACAGGAAGAGAGCTCCATAGATCCCTAAGGAATCGCTGAAGTACTTGGCTACCTGTAAAGGATGCCTGAAGCTGAGGAAACCAACCTGAGAAGCCAGCTCAGCCCTCTGTGCCTCGGCTCCCTCACCTCCCTCACCAGCAAGGTGGGGGTAGTTGTGTCTACATCGTGAGAACCCCATGAGGGTTATATGAGGCAACATGTATGAAACAACTTTAAATTAGAGGGTATTAGAGGGAAAAAATCCCCGGAGCTGGCATGAGACCAGAAATTGTTCACATTGTTCACAACTAGAATGAATGGCAATATGTGGGCATTCATAGGAGACGAGGAAGAACATGAAAAGCTGTTACCTGGGCTGTGACTGTAAGACTGGCAATGCCAAGGGAAGCTGAATCCATAATATGTTTTTGGCATAGAGCTGAGGGTTCCTGCAAAAGGGGTGGGGGAGGGGGCAGTTAAGGAGTTAATGAGAGAAAAATAAGTGTCATGGTGGAGTCGGACATTTTGTCCTAGAGGACTGGGTGAGTGGGGAACGGTGGGGATGAACACCTCAGAATGAGGTGATACCATGAGCTTGGTTTTGGACTGTTGTCGTAACCACATCAGTCACCATGTCGCTTCCTAACATGAGCTCTGCCTCACACAGTTGACCGCCCCTGCCGACCAGGAGCAAGAGGTGTAAGTTCGGCCTCTTCTCTGCTTGCCTCCCTTCTGGCTGGCTTGGCCTCGGTGGGACCTTAGCTTCAGGCTCTTCCTGCAGAGCTGTCTCCTGGCTCCGACATTCCTTATATTTTTACAGCCAACACTTGGTCATTTCTGAAGTGCTTTTTACATGTGGCCTTATTCATAATCTCACAGGCTCCTCACCAAATAGACATAACCCCTCCCTCTCGGCAAGCAAGGGAACTGAGGCACAGAGGGCTGAGCTGGCGTCTTCAGGACACTGCACTGGCGGTTGCTTGTATTTTTGTTGCTGTGACAAAAATACTCGAGCCAATCAACTTAAGGGGAGAAGGATTTCCTTTGGCTCAGGTGTTGGAGTTTTTCGCCCATGACAAGGTAGAAACATCATGGTAGGTAGAAGGGTATGATAGGAAAGCCACATACCTTATGGCGGCGGCCAGGAAGGGAGGGAACAGTCAAAGATGAGGTAGGGCATTCCAGGACACATCCCACTGTCCCGCTTCCTCTGGGCCCCACCTCCTGATCTCCACCCCCTCCCAATAATTCCATCAAGCCATGAACCCATTAAGGGATTAATCCACTGATGGGGTCAGAGCCCTCATGATCCAGTTCCTTCCCAAAGCCCCTCCTCTGAACGCTGCACTCAATATATGTTTATGGTGACATTTTCTATCTAAACCATGACGATGACTGTGGCAGTTAAATCTTTTGGGTGGGATGCGGATTGAAGCCGGGCCTTGCACATACCAGACAGGTACTCTCACGATGGTTAATCCTGTGTGTGTGCACACATGCATGTGTATTTGTGTGTATGTGCATGTGCAGATGCACACGTGTGGGGGGGGGTGCAAGCACACATGTGGAGGCTAGAAGGCAAATGCCTGTTGTTCCTTGGTGCCATGCATCTTTTTTTTTTCTAGACAGGGTCTCTCGCTGGCCTAGAGCTTGCTGGCCAGTGAGCCCCAGGGGTCCACTTGTCTCTAACCCCTGGGTGCTGGGATTGTGAGAATGCACCACCACACCTGGCCTTTTTTGTTGATGAGTGTTCTGGGACCCTAAGTGGGGTCCTTATGCTTGCAAGACCAACACGTTAGCAACACCCACCCACCCCCACCCTCCCACCCCGGTTAGCTTTTATAGCCAGGTAAAAATCTACTTAAGATGGATGCTGTCCTGTGGCTCCAGAATTGTTTCTAAGGCCATCGGCTCACAGAGTCTGGCATGAATCCCAGTGTTAAAGGGACTCCTTTCCAAAGGACCAGGATTAAAACAACACAAATGTCTCAGGTAGGTCAGAAACCCCGGGGCATTTGACACGTACCATCTGACCCGAGCAAGTAACATTTTCAACACAAGTAGACTAAAGGCCAGAGAAGGTAAACTGGCCAGCTGGGGGAAATGAAGCTGGAGCTCAACTCCGAGGCAACCCAAAATAAAAATCTCAAGTCCCAAATTAATTAAAAAATAATTTTTATTTCATCCAAAGCGAAGCTAAATCCAATTCTACAATGCAAAAATGTGTTGTAGAGGCAAGACAACCTAATCGAATTCAATCTGTGCTTAAACACAAGTCAGTGGTGGGCTTGTGCACGTCGGGGCCTCGTAGAGGCCCCGTGGACCTGAGGCACCCACAGCCCATCACTATATTGTTTGATCTATGAAGTTATATAGGAAAATTGACTATGGGTACTGCCATCCAAGCCAGAGGAACAAACCATGCATATGATAGTCAGAAGCACTGCATATCCAGTGGGGGATGGGAGAACAGGGACTCCAATCTGGGACAGAGTAAAGTGCAGCAAGCTAGAGGACCTCCCCACAAATCCTTCTTCTTGGCATCCCTGCCCAGCCCTCCAATGGCAGTTGACTGTGACCCTGAGATGGAGTCACCCAGTGGAACCCAGGAGCACGGCTGTTCATTTCTGTCTCTTACCCTTCCCCAGCCTCCAGCTCAGGCTGTGGAAAGTGCAGAGTGCCCCTCTCCCCCCATCTCGCATCACCCCTTGCATGCACAGCCCACCCACTCAGTCACACCTCTGCAGCCGGACCAGGCACACCTTGCCGCACACCGCAGGCCACAACCACTCCGTACGAGTGCACCCTCGAATCCCACCATCTGAAGGATGCTCTTGCCTCCCAGGCTCCACAAAAGCTGGTCAGCCAGGTGTGTGGAATTCTGGCCCCCTCCCAGTCCATCCCTCTCGCAGGCCCTCCAGCACGGCAAGCTGGTTCCAGTCGCCTTCTGCTCAGTTTCTACACAGAGGGATCTGGGCCCTCGAATGCACATGTCTATTTGGAGGTCAAGGATGAGGAGGGACTTGTGCTTCATCTTTGGTCTCACTGACGTCGTTGCCAGCGTGGGTCCGGGTTTCCCAAAGTCAACTGCGTAAGAGGTTCTGTAGCCCAGTGGTGCAGGGAACAGCCTCAGCCACCCTGAGATCACTACTGAAAGCAAGCCTGCATGAGGGTCTGGCTGGGGGAAATGGCTTTGTGAGCGTACATTTCTAATGCAATCCGTGGCAATGTCTGCACAGGCGTGAAGCTAGCACTAGGACCGGACATCCCTTGTGAAGAGGACCAAGTTTTGTGCTCTTAATCCCTATCCATTCAATGCCCGTAGAATGGCAGGCATTGGGATAACAACCATAGAAAATTACCCCCATAGTCGCAATCACCTCCATCAAAAAAAAAAACAAAAAACCAATGCCGTGGACAAGATGCTTAGCATCAGTTGGAGCCACGGTTCCGACGGCAACAACGGGAAGAGGAAGAGTGTGAGGTGTGTGCGTGTTAGAGGGATGAGGACATGACAGACGTGGGACCGCCTCCAGTTATAAGCCTTGTTTCCCAATGCCTTTCCAAGCCAAGCGAAAACAAAACAAAACAATAAAACCTCGCCAAGCCTCACCACAGTCCTGTGAGGTAGGTATTATTTCACCCTTTGGGTAGATGGGAGAAGCTGCAAGGGCCGCCTGTAAGCCCGCCGTGACAGGAAGAGGGGCAGGGTGACACCCTTCCTCTCCCGTTCCCTATGCCTTGGCTTCCTCTCACGAAAAAGCAAGAAGAGCCCACAGCACTTCGCCTCTTCCAGTGTCGGGGAAGAAAGCAGTTTTACATGAAGGCAGCCGGAAGTTTCCTGAACGGCTGGAGGCTCTGGTGCCGTGTTTGATCTCAGAGCCTGGTTACTCTGAGCCGGGTGTGGGGTCACACCTGTCATCCCAGCACTGGGTGATGGAGGCAGAAGATCGGGAGTTCAAGGCCAGTCTTGGCTATGTAGGAAGTCGGAGGCCAGCCTGGGCTACATGAGACTCTGTCTCAAATAAATGAATAAGAAGCAGGAGAAGGGCAACTTTTACCCCAGCCACAATGAGTTCTGGGTAAAGGAGGACAGGAGGAGAGGAGGCCAGGACCTGTGAGCTCCTTGGCTTGGGCAAGAGACACTAGCCATAGCCACAGGCACCCTACAGGCCCTATTGTCCCTTACACTCCCGCTTCCAATTTGGGGTAAACCTTCAGCTACTCCTGGGCAGAAGTCCCCACACTCCCTGGAAAGAGGACTGGTCTTCATCTTCCGGGGACCCAGGAGTATCAGAAACCTGATGAGGAAGAGGGAGTTGGGGTACCCCCTGTTATCACATCTCATATATCACAGAGGCCCCCAAAATCAAGCCCATCTGAAGGTCCCACATCTGATACCTCCATGTCAAAGACAAGGATATGAGACACCCCACAGGTGTCTCCAAGACTGCCCTCAGCCATAGGGCCATTGTTAACACAACTCCCAGCTTCATGGCCTCCTCCATGACCTCGGGGAGGGGAGTTGGGGACCTCCACCACTGTCACACCAGACTGTGCAATTAAGTCAGGAAGTGTGAGCCAAAGGGAAATGGGGTGAGAACCAGGACTCACGGAGCTAAGGCACAATCTAGTCCCACACGCGAGGGGTGTGCAAACCGGCTCTGCAGGAAGTAGAGAGGAGGCGAAAGTGCCCTCTCCCTGCTCCTCCGCACCCTCAGGCTGGCAGAGGAGCTGGCCCAGCTGGGCAGAAAGCGACTGGAGAAGCCAAGGGCCTTCTCATTTGGAAACAAGGGTCCCTGAGGCAAAGGCAGGCCCAGGGCTGGGGGTGGAGGGACCTAGGGGCAGGGAAAGGTCAGGCATGCTGGAGGGACATCAGAGGAGCAAAGGTACAGGATGGGAGGTCCTAAGAAGCCATCCCTCAAGTAAGGTGGCAACACCAGCTGTTTTCAAGAGAAGGGGAGAAGAGGGAAGAACTGAGCTCCAGGAGTGCCGGGGTGGCATGGTCCAGCCATGCCAAGGACAAGGGCTGTCAGTCGCAGAGGGCTGGGATAGACATTCCAAAGGCTGGGAGGTTGGAGACACCCTTCTTCCACCCCTGAAACTCACAGAGCAAAGCCGGAAAAGATGCCTATAGCACTCCAGTGTTCCAGGAAGGATGGAGGGCGCCCCCCGCCCCCAACCCTAACCCCCCTCACCTCCCGCCAGCCAAGCCTCCTCAGCAGTGGCAGCTCAGAGAGCAAAGACAAGCTAGATAGACTGGGACACTTGAAGGCCAGGGCATCCAGTCCTAGCTGGGGAGTCTACAAATTCAGAGCAGGAAGCTGGACAGGGAGCTGGGACAGTGCGGGCAGGTATTCCAGGGTGGGGGAAAGAGAAAGTTCCCTGGGAAGGAACTTCCAGAAGCCTGATATCCTTCAAAGCCCAGCTTGCATCTCAGAACTGGCCCCACCTCCAGCAGACTCCAGCCCAGAGTTCTAGCACATTCCCAACATCTCAAGGGCCCACCCTCCACCCATCTCTGAACCCCAGCTTTGGGAGCAGCCCTCTGATCACCTCAATGTCCTGGTGAAGGATCAGGAGAAAATGTGAGGGGAACGTGAGGGTTCACAGGGGTGGGAAGTCTAAAGGAGACCCCATTTTCCCGGGTGCCAGGGGCCAGCTCTCCCACGCTGCTCCACCCCTTCCTTTCCCTTTCTTCAACCTCTGCAGGCTTCCTTCCCCAGCCAGCCCTTGCCCCTGGGAAGCCCTGGCTGGAGAGGGAAAGGTAGTGTAGGCTGGGCGGGACAGGATCAGGTCCTTCCTGCTCAGAAAGAGACAGTTTGGGCCAAGCAGCACACGTCTCATCTTGTCTCGTCTCGTTGGTGGGTTCCACACACGGGACCCCAGCATCAGTGTCGCCGCCTTCAGGAAGTGAGGCTCCCTGCGCTGCTTGGCCCCGCAGGACCTCACACTTTTGTGGGTGGCTTCTCCTCTGCCTTGGAGCCGGGTAGACCATTCTCTGTGTTGTCGTTCCCGGAGGAACTCACGAGACATTCCTTCCTGGAGAGGAGGAGAGTGGGGGGCAGGGGGGGGGAGAGAAGCTGGTGAGAGGCACAAGAGATGGAGGGGTGGGGGCGTGGCTCCCGTACCCAGTCCTGTGGCCCCTCCCTGGCCTTTTGTTTTTTTGTTCTGTGCCAGGGTAGCCCACCTCGTTGCCTGTCTTCCCTAGAACAGAGCTTTCTAACGCCTCTCCCCTTCTAATGACTTTTTCTCGCTCTGACTTTGCAAGATCCCTCACCTGCTGCTTTAAAGCTAGCCTGACACTGTTCCAGAAAATTCTGTGCCTGGACTCATACCCTCTACACCTGCCCATCTTTCTCCTCCTTCCAGCGGAGGTCTTCCACCCAAGACCTCACACATGCTAGGCAAGCACTACACCACTTAGCTACATCCCTGACCCTGGATGTCTATTTTGATAACTGAACTTACCCTAGGACCTCCTGGGAGGCCAAGTCCCCATTTCAGATTATAGTGTAGTTTAGCTAAAGCTTTGGCTTTTGAAACAAGGCCTCACAGTGTAGACTAGGCTGGCCTTGAACTCAAGGAGATCCTTCTAAGCCTATAACTCTCAACTACCGGGATTGCAGGCATGAGCCACTGTGCTCGGCTGTCAGGCCTTGCTTCTCTACCTCTCCCGTTTGAATTCTCAGAATTTTTCATCTCCCCCAAAGCGTCTTTCCATTCTAGAGTCTCTACACATGAACTCACGTTTTCTGTGATAAAAGAAAAGAAAGCTAGAGCGGGAAGTCTAACTCAGAAAATAAACAGGCTTCCTAAATCCTACGGTAGGCTTCAGCACGCACGCATGGTGGAAGAGAGACTGATGGGACAGGGAGAGGAAAGAGGACTGGATGGGGAGGAGCAGATAGAGAGGTCAGGAGCGAGCCGGATTGGGGCAAGGGCTGTCGGGATAGCACAGGACAGGAGAGGACAGCGCTGGCATCAGAAGCGGGTGGAGAAGGAAGAGACAGAGTTGGCACCGCAGGCTGGCGGGGGCAGGGGTAGGTGGAGGGACAGGACGCCAGGATGATGGAGCGTGGGAGTGACGGAGAGTCCACTCACTTCTTCTCTCGGGTCTTCTTGAGGATGAAGGTGATGAGCTTCTTCAGCAGCAGGATGCAGACCAGAAGTCCAATGACCCCACCCACCACGGCCAGGATGATGAGCGTCACAGTGTTGTCCACTTCTTCCACTGGAGGAGGGGCAGAGCAGGCAGGGGAGAAGCTGTAAAGCCGCCACACACAGTCCGAAGCTGGCAGCCCTACCTCCAGGCCACAACCCTCTCAGGTCAACCAAGACAGGAGAGGCCAGAACACGGTGCCTTTCCGGCTAAGCACACCATGGGGCCTGTTCCCTTCACCCTTCCCAGCACCTCTCCCCAGCACCTCACACACACACACACACACACACACACACACACACACACACACACACACACACACGAGTTGGGGAATAAATCAGAATGCGACCCACAGCTCCCAGCTTTAAGTCACAAACTTGTTCCTCAGCTATCTCTGCTCTCTCCCCCACTGCCTTCAGACATTCCCCTCTCTGTCACCGTTCCCAGCCAAGCCTTCCTAGGCACCCCGTAAGCCCCCTGTCTTCCCTGTTCTTATCTACACGGCACCACTCTTCATTTAATGGCATCACTCCCTCAGCTGGGGACAGGGTGTGGGGAGGTGGGCAGGCAAAGCTCCCATCCTGGTCACACTGGACCCTCAGCACCCCAAATCACCTCCACCATGTAAAAGGATGGCTGAAAAACCCTATACATAGACAGGTGCCACCTGGGAGGGGCCACTGAGCTAAAACGAGTCGTCTAACTCACAGCCTGGCACCCAGAAACACTCTGTCACTGCTGGTCCCCTTCCCTTCTCCTCCTGCCAAGGCCAAGCACAGAGCAGAGTGAAGGAATCTAAACATACAGAAGAGGTGACTTTCTTTGCAGATGTCACCCCAGACTCAGGAAAGACTGGCTGGATGACCTCAGGCTCTGCCCTTGGAATAGCCCAAATTCAACTCCTGCTCGCCCATCTCCAGGGGCTCCTTGATATGGTCGTGGGGTAGGGGCATGCAGAAGGCATTATCTTCTAGGACCCTCAGCTGCTAGGTGCCCAATCTAGCTTCTCACCTATTTATCCCCTTTTGCTTCTCTGACCACCTCCATGAAGTAGAGGCGTGTGGCTACCTGGCTGCTTATCTTCAGTCCATTCACTGTTTAATTGGCCTGCCTGTATCCAGTTCCACCAGGGAAGGACCACACCTCATTCTATCTCTTTGGGAAGCATCTGTACCACTGCTATCCATCTGGGGCTATCATCTGCTTGTCTGAACTACACACTTCTCAAAGAAAAAAAAAAGAATACTGTGTACTAGTCACAGCATCCTTTACTACAACACCTGACGGCCAGCCAACACTTGCTAACACAGTCCACAAAGAGGCAAAAATCACCTACATGGAGAGAGCCTAATGCCGCTGACCACTCCCAACTAGCTCCTCTGGCCTTCACAGCCACCCTGGCAGAAGGCAGCCATATGTCCATTTTATGGACTAGGATATCAGGGCTCAAAGACTGTCAGTGCCATTCCCAAGCCACTCCATAGCTGACTTGTTCTGGCTTCCATATGTAACTCCCGTAACTCTTGCAATTGTGAAGAGACAAAAATCACCAGCATGGCCCATTTTGCCATTTCAATGCCACACTGAGATGGGCACCCCCCCCCCAGTCCTTCCTACCCTACCACCCTCACCCCGCCCCACTCCATACGTTTATCAACCACTTGGAGGAAGATGGTGGCAGAGCTGTTGAGGTCCTTCTCTTTGGGGTTCCTCACGAAGCAGGTGTATTTGCCCGTATCACTGAACTCCAGGTCACTCAGCAGGATGGAGATGTTGTTCATCTTCTCCTTCGTGGAGCCCTCCAGGGTAATGCGGTCATCACTCTTCACCTTCACCTTTGGGTCAGACTTCTCATTCTTCACAATGCCGTCTATGAGCTGGGGCAGGAAAAGATCGGCGTGGTCAAATGTCACCCTCCCTTGAGCGTCAACCCTGAAGAATTCTGCCTCTTTCAAACCTCTGTCCTTACACACACACACACACACACACACACACACACACACACACACACACACACACACTTCTCTCTGCATATCCCACCCAGCCTTTACTTACACTATACCCTCTACCCCACTGAACCTTTGTCCTTCAGCCAGGACCTGGATTAATGCCACAGCTCTCTCCATTGGCACCCTCTAAGGCTGCACTTTTGGGACTTCCCCGGTTACCCTGGGAGAAGAACCCCTGCCAGGCTGCAAAGAACTCCACCCACATCTGTAATCGGCTCACCCTTTCTGGCTCCCTCTTCTGCCCTTCCAAGCACAGCCCTCGGCCATTGCTCGTTCCAACAGTTTCTTCCTCCTGATTGCTAAACTATTAAATCTTCTGCAAATATACAAGTCACAAGTTTTCCTCCGGACAGGACAACAAAGTCTAGCCAAAATTACCAACAGACCCCAAATTCTGGCATCACCATGAGAACAATCTTCCTGCCTGGACTCTAACAGAAAGAGTAACAAAGGGTGGGTTCTTGGGATCCTCATGGTGGAGCTTATCTCAGAAGGGACCAGAGACAGGGCTTGAAGGCATCCACCAGTAAGAAACAGGCAAGGGGGCAGGGGGACATGAGCATCCCACTCACAATCCTGTGCGTCTCGGTGTTATTGTAGGACCATCTGAAGTAGAGATTCTCGAAGCCAAAACAGCTGGAGAAGGTGCAGGGCAGCAGGATCGCTGAGCCATTGATAGCGTAAATGGTGGTAGCCTTTCCCACAGACACCTCCAACGGCAGGGACATAGGGAGCAAGAAGAGACCTGTACAAGGAACACAGCCTCCCTTAATACAACCCCACCAGAAGCTCTTTAAGGGCACTCTCAGGCAGGGCAGAGTGGCTCTGCCCGGCAAAGAGGTCTTTGGCATCCTCAGGAGGGAAGGTGGTTCTCTATACAATATCTACACAGCGTGGGCCACGCTTTTCAATATCCACTTGGCCTGAATAGGACTGAATTCTGAGCCTCTTAGTGGCCCATGTGGTACTCATAATGACCACGAGGGGTCACCCCAACCCAAGGAAAGGAGGATCTGATGGATTCCCCCAGCCCCTTGTCCTAGAATCTGAGATTCCATCCGTTCACCTGGGTCGGAAAGCAAGTAAGCACTAACAGGGAACTCCCTTTCACCTGCAAGGGGGTGAGGGGGAGCCTTCCCTAGATAGGAGCGCACCCCTGGTGACTTTGGGAGTTGCGGGTGGGGGCCAGAATGTGGTCAGGTGGAAAGGCGCGACCACCGCAGTCCCCGCACTGGGGCTAGGGACAGAGAGACACTTTAGGGATGGACATTTGCCTGGCTAGTGAATCCAGTGCCTCTGACCACGCAAGGGGATCCTGAAGAGAGAAGGACGACGACTGGCCTGCCAAGATGAAACCGTGGCCGCGGGGGACACAGACTGCTAGAATGAGGACACAGGATGGAGCAGGCAGAGTGCAACTCTCCGACTAGCCCATTCCAACCAATTGGGGGCGTGCTGCAGGGTACCGGACTCTGCGTGGCCAGTCCCCTCCCACCCC